ACTCTAACTATATATATCAAATCATTCTTTTTTTTTTTAACCCGGTAGGCGAACTTACCCATTGGTGGGGCAAACTCTGGGGAAAGTTTGCCAGGTATATCAAATCATTCTTCCCAATATATATGATCATGAGTCAACCATGACTAATTAATTAGCAAATGGATTTGCCCCTTCAAAAACAACTCAATGTTACTAAAACGTTTGCAGACAAATAAAAAACTAACATACAGCTAATTGATTTAGAAGGTACATCGTTGGATCTTATTCTCTCATTCTCTCATTCAAATGCTCCAGAATATCAAATATCAAACTTGTTTTTTCTCTCATTCAAATTGCTACAGAATATCAAAGTATAAAAAATCCAGCCACAGATGGACTACTGGAGAAATGAAGACTGAAACGATTACGGTGAGAAGGCCTACATATTAATCCTTTTCTCTAACAGCACAACAAATATCTAGCCTGCATGGAGAATAAAAGGTAAAGGCATTATGTTGATCTAATAATACCAATAAGCAGAGGGGTCACCTTGTAAAAAGAATGTGAAGAGATCATTCTCATTGCTTACAATTGGAGAATACACGGGTATAAATAATACAAGGAGATAGAGTTTGACTACAACTCTACTATAGCTTCTACGTATAAGTCTGTTGCAACAACCATGCTAAGAGATATATACAAGCAATGATTATCGTAATAATAAATAAATCAAATATTATCCTTTACACGCCCCGCAAGATGGAGGATCCGTCGGATACACCAATCTTGGATCGAAAATGAAGGAACAAAGATCGTCCCAGAGGTTTAGTAAGAACATCTACATGTTGAGCCTTAGATGAAACATGACGAACATATAATGAGCCATCTGCCACAAGATCGCGAACAAAGAAATAATCCAACGATACATGTTTCATACGAGAATGAAAAACCGGGTTTTTGCAAACATAAGTAGCACTAAGATTATCGGTGAATAAAGTTGGTGCACCGGCAAGTGATACACCCAGTTCGGCTAACAAGTGTTTGACCCAAAGAACTTCAGCAGTGGCATTTTCAATAGCACGGTACTCGGCCTCCGTAGACGAGCGAGAGACCGATTTCTGCAGGGCGGACTTCCAAGAGATGATATTAGAACCAAGATAAAGAATATATGCCGTGGTGGAACGCCCTGAGGTAGTGGAGCCACCCCAGTCAGCGTCCGCAAATGCTGTGAGGGATAAGCGAGATCCAGACCGAAGGTATAAGCCATGACATGTAGTTCCCTTGAGGTACCGTAATACTCGTTTAGCAGCCAACCAGTGAGCATCCGCAGGACCATGCATGTATTGTGAAAGCCTATTAACGGCAAAGGAGATGTCGGGATGTGTGTGGCCAAGATATTGAAGAAGACCAAGTAAGCAGCGATATTCAGAAGCATCCACAGCTTGAGAGGGATTGGCCGGTGGAAGATGCTCATGAGAGGCCATAGGAGTAGAGACCGGTTTGGCGCCATCCATGTGAAACTTGACCAAAATATCAGAAATATATTGAGATTGAGATAGGAACATACCAGATGAGGTGGAGACCACTTCTATGCCAAGAAAGTGATGAAGTGGACCCAAATCCTTTAAAGAGAAGCGAGCAGCAAGTAATGTAACAAACCGAATAAGGAAACTGCCATCATTCCCAGTGAGGACAATGTCATCCACGTAAACCAGAAAATACATGATGACACCATTGGAAGTGTATACAAATAATGATGGGTCGGCCTTTGACTTGCAAAATCCAAACTTGACCAAGAAAGTAGAGAGTTCAATATACCACGCCTGCGGGGCTTGCTTGAGTCCGTAGAGTGCTTTGCGGAGCCGGCAAACATGAGTTGGATGTTGATGATCAAGATAACCTGGAGATTGATCTAAATATACAACTTCATGTAAAGTACCATTAAGAAAGGCATTGTTAATGTCCAACTGCCGAATAGACCACCCATGATTTAATGCCAAAGATAAGATGATACGAACCGTAACCGGTTTCATAACCGGACTAAAAGTCTCAGAGTAGTCCCGACCAGCCTCTTGAGAATATCCTTTGGCCACTAATCGGGCTTTATAGCGGTCAACCGGACCATCGGGTTTGCGTTTGACCCGAAATATCCATTTACATCCAACAGTGTGTTGTCTCGTATTGGGGACGAGGTCCCAAGTATGATTTTTTTGAAGGGAAGCAAATTCATCATCCATGGCGAGGCGCCAGAGAGGGTCCTTGAGAGCTTGAGTGACAGTCCGGGGTTCAAGAGTGAGGACAGGAGTATGGACAGTAGAGGTGTTGACATAAGAAGGGCCATAGTATTTGGGGTTAGGGTGTTTTTGACGTTTGGAACGGGGAGGGGTTGACGTTATGTGAGTTGAAGAAGACAGTGCATGAGATGCATGCGATGCGGGTTGACTCGAGGTGGAGGAGGGAGGAAAATTAGGGTCATGAGTAGTGGGTATGGACGTAGTTGAGGGAGTGGGTATTTCAGATGAAGTAATTCTCTTAAATGGGAGTAAAACAATGAGATAATTCCAAAATAAGAGTGTTTATTGATTTCTTCCTTGAATAGGAGTATGTGGTTGACCACTCCGTTCGTTTTACCAATTATACCCTTATTTGCAAATTAATTTGTTTTATTTTGTCAGATCCTTTTCCTTTCACGCAACCTTCAGATAAGAGGCCTTATCCTCTCTTTCCTTTCTGCACTGCAGCTTCTGCCTCTCTCCTCTTCCATCTCTCCCCTCTAAAAAAATTCTCCGACCATTTCCGATCCTCGATCTCTATTTTTCACCCACTCCGGTCACCGGCGGACGGCGATAATCATCACAGGTAATCTTTGATCTTTCTTCTCATTCTCTCCCTTGATCTCTTCTTCTCCTTGGTCTTCTATTTTTTCTCCCTTCTCTTATTTGATCGGCGGCATAACCTGTTTTTTATTGCACCTTGAAGTTGCTAGTTATTGGACAACCAAAAATAATAATCTGTAACTTTTTGATTAATTTTTCTTCCACTTTCTACATCTTTCCAGATCTGTTTTTGTTTTTTGCTTTCTTTTCTTGATTTTTTTCTTCTCTTTCCATTTTGTTTCATTAATTTCAGGATTGTTTTGGGTTGAATATGAATTTGCCGTCGTTTTTCTTTCACCTTTTTGTTTTTTAACTTTTTATTTTATCTTTTTACATTAAGTTAATATTTTTTACTTTCATGTTGATCAATTTTTTAACTCTTCAAATTAATTTTATGATAAATTTTATTATTACTTCTTTGCAAATAATGCCATGTTTTCTACGTGAAAATATTATTTTGACATTTAATGTCACTTTTATGATGGCATTAACTCTTCTAGATGGCAAAAAACAATACCAATAATGCCATATTTTTTCATATATAAAAAAGTAAATTTTGCCCATATTGTCATTTATATGGCACTAACTATATAGTGATGACAATATTATTTCCCCTACAAATCCAACATTTATAATGCTAATAAAGTGTCAAGAAGACACTAACATTCATTTCCTCTTTTTTTATTGTATAAATCTTACTAAAAAGATTTTGGTGAGATGATATTTTAAATTAGTTTTTACATATCTGAGATATGGTGATGGTGGAGTGAAAAATGGTGGTGGTGCTAGAAAAGGTATGAGGCTGTGATGATTGACCAATGGTGACCCGCGACTGGCGGCGGAGGCACTTGACCGCTCTGAGGCCGACAGATGAGACGATTGTGACGAAAATTGCGGTGGCGTCTGGCAGTGTCCGGCGGCATCTGGTGGTGTCCGGCAGCGGTAAGGGGCAGCTGATGGTGGTGACTGGTGCAGGTCCTGTCCCCTGGATTCGTCCGGCGACAACAAGGCTGGAGTGGGCAAGAGGGGAAAATACGTCGTTGTTGCAAACTCATTAAATTGAATTTCATTTATTTATTATTCTATTGTACTATATAAATTGGAATTCATTAAGGGCATTCTTGTCCCTTACTATTAATTTCCGTGTGGCAAACTAGAGGCAGGATAGGAGTCCTACTTTTGCACAATGGATATGTTTTACTCCTAAACTAGGAATTCTCTCTTTCAGATGGTGTGGTAGACGATGTGATAGGAGTTTGACTTGGTGGGGTATATTGGGTGGGGAATGATAATGAGTAGGAATAGAATTGGGGGACGTATGGGTTAGGGAAATTAAATTAGGAGATAAGGGAGGAGGTGTAGGAGTGGATGTTGACTGGAAGGGGACACATGCTTGGGAGGCAGTCTGGGTGGGAGATATTTGAGAGGATGAGGTGGATGGATAAATATGAGGTACGAATTTAACATGCCGAGATAAGTACAATCAGTTAGATGTGATATCGAGGTACTTGTAGGCTGATTGGGTGACAGAATATCCCAAAAAATACACGGAGTAGACCGAGGTTGGAGTTTGTGTGTAGTATAAGGACGTAACCACGGATAACAGAGGCATCCAAAAGGCTGTAGTTTTTTATAATTAGGAATTTCTTGGAAAAGGAGAGCATATGGGCTCTTATAATTTAGTAACGGGGTAGGCAGACGATTGATAAGATAGAAGGCAGTTTGAAAGGCGTGAGGCCAGAAGGTAAGTGGAAGGGAGGCAGTATGTAAGAGTGACAGGCCGGTTTCAACAATATGACGATGACGGCGTTCGGCCATGCCATTATGTTCGGGAGTGTGAGGTGGGGTGGTAAGATGAGAGATGCCCTCTAAATTAAGGAAGGGACGAAGTTTGATAAATTCACCCCCATTATCAGAAAAAATAGTCATAATTTTCTGATTAAACCGTTTTTCAATCAATCGCTTAAATTGAGGAAATATACTGGACACATCCGATTTTTGCTTAAGTGGGTATAACCAACTGTATTTAGTGAAGTGGTCCACAAAAACAACATAATAGAGATAACCATCAGATGAGACTTGACGAGTACTCCATACATCAGTATAAATTAACTCAAGTGGACGATTACTAGTAAGAGAATTTGTGGAAAATGGTAATTTATGACTTTTATTAATATTGCAAGAATTACAATAAAAATCACTAATTGACCGAGAAGAAATGGCCATATTACATTTATTGGCTAAAGTCACTAGAATTTTATTTGAAGGATGGCCCATGCAGTGATGAAATTGAGAAACGGATGACAAATCAGTTGCATGAACACAAGGTGGACCGGATGTAGATGCATAATAAACTCCATTTTTGTTTTCACCCCTCAGAAGCGGGCTCCCGGTGATCCGATCCTTGACAAGAAAATAAGACGGAAAAAATTCAACGGAGACGTTATTAGTATGACAGAGTTGAGAAACTGAAACTAAATTTTTGTGGAGTTGAGGTACACACAAAACATGATTAAGAGTAAGAGGACGAGTAGGGGTGGACATGAGGGTTTGACCAATATGAGAAATAGAAAGGGACATACCATTGCCTAGACGGATTTCATCCGGACCGTCATAAGGCGAAAACTCATGCATAGGACCCACGCTGGAAGTCGTATGGTGAGAAGCCCCAGAATCAAACATCCATTGGGAAGAGGTGTCGTCCATACATGTTGATGTAGAGTTCACAGTAGGAGAGGCGGAGGGTGTCGGGAAGTTATTCTAACGCAGAAAACGCGCTAGCTTGCGGCAATCCCGGAAAATGTGACCAGCAAAATTGCAGAAATTGCAAATGATGGAGGACCTGCCTTGTCCACCGGTGTGAGGTGTGCGAGAAGTGCTGCCAGTTGAACCACAGAAGCCATTTTGAGAAGTGGTTCGTTGTGCTAATAAGGAGGGAGAATTCCGTCGCGTTGTATCTCCGGAAGAGGGAGAACGACGTTGCGTAACATGAGCAGTAGGTATCAACGTACTGGTTCCGTCATCAGAGTCTTTAAGAGACCGTTCATGGTCGGTCAAAATTTGAGAAAATTCAAGCATGGTTGTGGCAGAGTTGCGGACTCTGAGAGCACTGATGATTGAGCGGTAATCCTCTCCAAGGTGATTCAAGATGTAAAGTTGTAGGTCAGTGTCAGAAACCGGACTTTTGGCCAAGGCAAGGTCTCCGGCAATCGCCTGCATCTCCTTAATGTAGTCAGTGATGGACCGTGAGCCCTGAGGATTCCGTGAGAGCTGGCTCTTGAGTGCCAAGATCCGGCCTGGAGAGGTATTCGCATAGCTATCGAGAAGAGTGTTCCACGCCTCTTTGGCCGTAGAGGCAGAAGAAATTAGCGGCTGAACCGCTTGGAGCAACTGCCTAAAAAGGCACTAACAAGGATGTGATTTTGACGGAACCAAATGGAGTAGCAGGGATTGGGGATGCGTTTGTCAGCATCAGAAAATTGGGAAGGGACGGTGAGAGTGCCGTCCACGTATGGCAAGAGATCGAAGCCAATGAGTGTTGCTTCAACCTGCCGACGCCAAACTGGAAAGTTAGCCGCAGAAAGCTTGATCGGAAAATTGTTTGGGGCATTGAGTTGGATAATGGATGTAGTTGGAGTGATCTCCATGATCGACGAGAAGAAAAGCGGGATCGAAAAAGGTTTAGGAAAAAAAAATTCTAAAGCTCCGATACCATGTAAAATGAATGTGAAGAGATCATTCTCATTGCTTACAATTGGAGAATAAACGGGTATAAATAATACAAGGAGATAGAGTTTGACTACAACTCTACTATAGCTTCTACGTATAAGTCTGTTGCAACAACCATGCTAAGAGATATATACAAGCAATGATTATCGTAATAATAAATAAATCAAATATTATCCTTTACACACCTAAGGAGAAAACCTTTGGGCAGAAAACAACGGCTTTGTGATTATTTTAAACATTTATTCACCGCTTAAGGAGACATCAGGCTTAAACAAAAGGAAAGGTAACCTAACATCTCAAACTTTTAGTTATGACATACTCCGTATTTACAAACACCTGGTGTATTCGTATACACCTAGTTCATTCTTACAAACACCCAGTGTACTTAACGACTAACTCTATTGATCACACTCATCTCCCAATAAACCTAGCAAATTGAAAATCCTCTCCTTAATAGCATTACAGTTCTCTAAAAAGAATTCCCGCTCACCCAACTCTTCGTATCACCCGTTTGATTTGAGTAAATTCCGTCAACGGCTTTTAGCTTTCGCTTTATTTCTCTTTCGTTTAGGACTCATCTAATTCTGAAATTGCAAGAAGAGAAAATTACAAGTTCCTCAATTTTAATTGTGATTTGCCAAGAAGAAAGAATATTAATCTCCGGATGATATGAATAAAGGGGATATGTGTAGCTCTTCTTGCGATTTCAGAAGTAGATAGTCCTAAACGAAAGAGAAATAGAGCGAAAGCTAAAAGCCGTTGATGGAATTTACTCAAATCGGACGGGTGATACGAAGAGTTGGGTGAGTGGGATTTTTTTTAGAGAATTGTAATGCTATTAAGGAGAGGATTGTAATGCTATTAAGGAGAGGATTAATAATGGAAGATCGGTCATTGATCCCTTCTAAGTTCTAACGATTCAACATTTTGGGATACCACATGTCTCCACATTGTATGACGGTCATTCCCTTATTACTTTGTTAGTTTGTTATAACTACTTGCTTGCCATGTCACCTAATCCAAATAAGGAACGAGCCCGTTATTAGTTCTAGACCTGGACTCGGTTTGGGCCGCCCGGCCTGGAACCGGGAAATCGGTTCCAGTCCGGGCCTAGGCCCGAAGGGTTAAGCGGTTCCGGGCCCGGGTCATGAAAAAGGCGAACCGGCCCGGCCCGATTTGGGCCTTTTTTATTTTTTTGGTTTTTTTGGGTTTGGGATGGGTTTAGTTGGGCTGGGTTGGGTGTTTCCAAGGGGTTTGGGGGGTGGGGGGATGGGGGATGAAATAATTTTTTTTTTGTTATTGGGGGATGAAATAAATAAGAAATCAAAAACCAAAAAAAATTGAACCGGATCCGGCCCGGACTATTGAGCAAGAAAACACTATGTTGTTCTTCCTCATAAGCCTTCAATTTTCCAGTTGAAAACCATTAGGTTTTGCTTCCCTCCTCAAAGTCTTTGTGCTGGACTTGACCCTTCCACGAAACTTGTACTCTTTCCTCAAAATGTGCAGCAGTGTGTATTCTTCAGAGTCCTTCACCGTCACATGTTTTCTAGCAACAATAGCCTTCACAGAACTGCAAAGACTATCGAGCAAGGCCATGCAGTTGGCCTGAGCATGCTTGTGCTTAATTTGATTGACATATCGAGCTAGTATTGTTGCAGCTAACTCCAGATCTTTTCGGGCATCAACCAAAGCCTTCTCCGCAGCCTCATGTTGGTAGTGCAAGTCCCCAAAGTTGAGCAGCATTAAATGGGACGGTGATTCCATATCTGTGAGCAATTACAAAAACAAAAAAGAAGTAAACATTAGTCTTGTAGCATCATAATTTGGGCTTATGTAGGATTAAAGGTGTTCTGGCCGGCCAGCAAGTTGCATGACAGGCCGCTCAGTTCAGAAGGCAGCAAAGATGGCTGGCAGGGAATATGACGGTATTAGACACGCAGCTCAGTCACCTATTAAATCACTCTACCTAATCACTCTACTTTTGGAAGAGCCATTTTCCCGCTCCATAGTCGAATACATTTCAGCCGTACGATTTCACTCAATAATAGATCCCCTGCGCCTCACCTGACTTTTATAGTTTTATATTTCTCTTCCCATCTACACCGCATCCTTTCACTTCATCGTTAGTGGAAGTCTTTTTTCACTCCTCACATCTCTCGGGCTACAGGAGACCATAGGATTTATGCTCAGGAATATCTCCTTCCGCAATTTCACTTCTACATCTCTGCCGGCAAGTTTCATCGTGATTACAGAGTACATTCCTTTGCAGGTATTTTCATCCCCTTTCTGATTTCTATCTCCAACTATTATTTTCATTTCCAATACTTTTCATTCTATTGCACTTTCGGGTTTTTATGGACTGACCGGAGGGGTATCTCACATCAAATTTTGGTTCTATAGTTGTCGAATGGGAGGGGTTTCGTTCAACTTAAGCTAAAAGCATTAATGATTTCAAGAACTATATATTCTCTGTGCTATATACTGATTGTAATCATATATGAATGCTTCCGTATAATTTATAATTAGAAAACAATTTCATTGTGATGTTTGTTGTTGTGATATTTGTTGCTTGGTTTATTTTTAGGTGCTACTTCTTCATTGGGTTCTATAATTGTGAAAATTGACTGAAAGTTGGTTTAAATAAGTTTGCTGAAAAATTCTTGACTTTTTGTCATAAATCTGTCCATATATTTTTCTTTTGATATATGGCCTTGAGTATATCAGTTAAGTATTTTTTTAGGGTAAATCTAATAGTGCAATAAGGTTTAACATGTACTATGAACTTGAAGTTTGCTACAAATTGTCTTGAGTTTTTAATAACATTTAAACCTTTAATTAGGTTGCTATGCAACGGAGCCTCAAACTTTTTTGCGGTGACTTTTCCTTCTCGCTGCAGTCCTCTGGAAGGCGCCTCCTCGACGGTATTGACTTTTTTGTTCTTTAATGTATAATATTGAATGCTAGATTATTTGCCCTATTCAAAATATTCTCTTGAGATGAAATGCTTGATTACATAAATTTGATGTATCAAAGTCAGACTGTCGGGGTGAGATTAATGTCAAATATTATTTAAACCAACTTTCGTTCATAAATGTAGTTTTTTATTAAATGTAGTTTTCTTTTATGAAATGTGGGTGACATGATAACTCTAATTCAACTAACAAGGTATCTTTTTCATCTAAAATGGGGAATACAGTCTTTAGGCTTTGGTTTATGAATGAAAGATTGCTTTAATATATTTTGTTTGATTAAAATAGTTAAGGTTTAGCTAAAAGAGCAACTTTACTGATGTAAACTAAGGTTGAGATGCATTTCTATAAACACTAATCTTTCAAGGCTAAGGTTGAATTTGTCATCTATCTCCTCTCTCAGGCAAAAGTGGCATCCTGGAAGCTAATTAATATCTATTACTACCTTCGTCTCCCTAAGTTTGGAACAAGAGAAGGTGACACGGTTATTAATTAAAGTGAGTTTATGTGGTTGATATTGAATTAATAAAGTAGGAATGATTTAGAACCACACAAACTTTACCAAATGAGGTATGAGACAATTTTAGTGGGACAGACCGAAATGGTAAAATGGGACAATCATAGCGGGACGGAGGGAGTACTACGTATCTTCTTTATTCATTTTCATAGAGGGCGGAAATGAAAAAAAAGATGCATCTGAGGAAGAACAAAGATACTACGAATTTAATCAGCATTCGGAATGATAGGAGGTACTACAAAAGGGAGATACATTTATAATAATCTATTAATAATCTGATAGAAGACAAATCAGGCAAGGGGCTACAACTTCAAGATGATATAATTGTGAGAAGTATGAACATTTTCTTGCCCAAATATAAAATATTAATGCATGTATATTAGTTCGAACTGAATATGTTTTCTTAATTAGTGATGCTATACATAGGACCCCTTAGCTCAGTTAATAATGCTTCACCCGTGTCATTGGAACTATGGTTTCTTTTTTGGATTATAAAAAGCTTTAAATTTCTTCAATTTATCAAGTTTATACTGAGTAAACCATTCTAAAATCTAAATTAAGAAGAAGAGATCATTTTCTTCGCTCTTCTGCATTTCCTCTTCTTGCTATTGTCTCATTTCACTTAATGATGAAAGTATAAGATCTATGTCTCATTGATCTTCTTATTCTTTCTGTGTGTTCAGATTTTTTGTGAAGCTCATTTCATGAGAAATGGTGGAGCACCTAAATTAAATGGTGATCCATGGGCAAGGAATGTCACACTCTCAAACCTTTAAGGAGGTTTGGTGGTCTAACCCAGCAGGTGCATTGAGTTTATATTGCACAGTTCATCTGACTTGCTGCAGGCTCCAACTTTATGCATAAATAGGGTAATGTTGTTGTTTAAAAGTTGGTCAAGGCTTGCTATATTCTGATTGCACTAAGCATGTTTTACATTAAAACTAAAGAAAATGCAATCTACAGGTTTTTAAATTAGATATTCAACTCAAATCACATGATTCCCCTATATCCTATCATAATCAATCTTATAAATAATATTGATATGAAACCAATAAATTTAATCAATCTTAATTATTTCTTGATTCAATTTAAATTTTGCTTTACTTTATAGTGTTTTCTCACACATTATTCATTTTCATTTTATGCAATTTCTGATTTCATCCAACAGAACATCTAATCTTGCAGTGTTCCCTTTTCATTCTTTCATTAACATAATCCAAATCAGAGGTAGACCAATTCCTAATTTCCAGTTATGTCATCGTCAATATCATCTTGATGAGGTAGACTGAATCCCTGCTTTAGTTTATAGTTTTCTTAGAATTAGTTGTAACATGCTAAATCCACTATTTAATCCCTGCTTCACACTTGCGGAAGTAACTTATTTGATTAGTTTTAATTTGATTATAAGTAGAATTTAGTAGACCGATAAAATGTAATCATCTAAAGCTGACAATCAAGAATCAGGATTGGCACGAAGACTAAGAGTCGCATATCCTCATTTCTTGCCTGAAACTATTAA